CACAGAGGACGGAGGAGAAGCAGAGGGTTTACTCTTCTTTTACTCAGAGAGATGCAGAGGAAGAAATTCACGGAAGAAGCATAGTAAGTGACTCTTTGGTTCCTTCATTAAGTTTCCCAGCAGAGGGGAAATTTCTCTGTCACGTGAGCTGGGAGCAAACGGCACAGTCGGTGTGCCGGTGAGGACCTGTGTCCAGCTACCGACGTGAAATGTTTCCCTCTCAGTCTGCTGCTGTTCTCTCAAACAGAGGGTTTCTAACAATTTTTTACTGTTTTCCATGTTTGTTCCTGTTCTTTGAGCTCACAGTAAAACTCTGAACCTGGAGGCCTGACATCAAAGTCCAATTTGATTGGCTCTGATCCAGACTGACTTTGATACTCAGCCCGTTTTATGAAGGATCATAATTCACATCGACCAAAGTGTAACCATGTGAATAATGTTTAATTATACATATAGTTAAACATATCTTAACATTTAATGCACTTATCTCTGTAGAGATGATAGAGACGCTGATTTGAACTGGTTTGTGTTTCCTGTGCAGAAGAAGTCAGAAAGTGTGTGTGAACCGGTATAAATTCAGCAGCCATGGATCAGTGTGAGGACACTAAAAGCTCTCTATGTGGGGAACTGAGCAGTGATCAGAGGTAAGAAGACTATCTGTAACTGTAAGGGACTCGTTTCCATGTCAGAGCTCATAGACTAAAGCGCCTTTATTCACAGGAAACAACCAGGACCAGGACCTGAAACCAAACCTGAAAATGAGTCTGAACCAGAACCTGAAACCAAACCTGAAAATGGCTCTGAACCAAGACCCGAACCAAGCTGTGCGTCAATGAGGAGCGATCGTTCCACAGTGTTTAAACAAGGAGACTTTAAACAAAGTGGTTCATCTGATGAAAAGTACGTACCCCATTCATGATGATCAATTATATTTCCAGAGGATTTCTGTATATTTCCGACTTTGTTTTCTTTGCTTCTCTGATTTCTACACGTTATTTGTACAAGAGTGTCTTTTATGGATCATTTGAGTGTTATTTAAGGACAGTGTCAGCTCAGGCAGGCTGCACACTATTCACTGTTTAATAACTTTCGTAGCTTGTCTGTCACCGATTCTGTTCTGTCCTTAATCCACACTGTCAGAATCACCAGCTTTTAGATCTAAGAGGCCCTGACTAATGATTTTTTTTCCTTTAAGGGTCAGCAAGAAACCTAAACCTGAGCCCAGCTGCGTCTCTCTGAAGAGCAACTTCTCAAAGGATATTATTTTTGATTTTAAAGATGAACATCCTGATTCAAAGAGGTGAGGTTTATCTGAATGTAAGAGATGTCACTGATTTAGCCTTTACTGTCTTTAATCCAGCATGTGTTAGATTCACGGCAGTACAATACCCCAGAACTTTGAACTGTCTGTTTTTATCATCAGGATTAAGCTGGAAACCCCTCAGCATGAGCCTCATGTGGAACATCATATAACCCTCAAAGAGAAACAAGATTGGTCTTCTAAAGGGCAAGTATTCTGCCTTAAGGGGTTCTGTAACCACGTGCTGTATATTGGGTTTGCTTTGCTCATGAGAAAAGCAAGATTATATCATGTAACCCATTTAAACCTTGCAACAGGATTCTCACCCAAAATAATTATGATATGTAGTCTGAGACTGTTCTGAATTAAACCAAAAAACAATTCAAGAGAACGCAATCCTCCTGGTCGGTTTGGCATAATAAGAATCCTTAGCAGTTCTTCTGCTAGATCCCTGTCATTTCCTGTCAGGTCCCGGTCTAAATAAGCTGTCTTGGTGCTAAAAGGATATTCCAAAACGGACAGAGCTGCACATCTGTACACTTGTCTTTAAGTGTCTGACCTGAATCCATGTGCAATAAACACTATTGTACAGTTTCCTGTGTAATACCTACAGTTCATTGTGTCCATCCATCCATCCATTTTGATCCACTTATCTGTTTCGGGTCTGTTTCTAAAAACATTTTAGAAACCATATCAAATGAGACCTATGGCATTATAGGGTTAACTCCTCCACCTGGGACAGGAACTCATCAGTCTTGGAAAGAGCATTCCACCGTTTCATGGTTGAAAACCACAGCCTCAAATTTGGATGAGCTGACTCCCTTACTGCCCATGTGGATTGGATCTCTTGAATTGACGAGTAAATAACTAAAAAAATATCCCTGTCAAGATATTGGTCAAAAATGTAAAAACAACAAAAAAATAGGTAATATGTTACTATTTTACAGGAAACTCCCAGTCAACACATAATTTTGTCTCTAAATGCAAATTATAACCAACCTAAAAGTGTCAAAATGGTTCTAAATGTGTATATTTGGATTGCCAGGTAGTATAAAATTGAGACTGCCAATTTGATTTGATTCTTTGATTATAGTCATGGTATCCAGAAGCCCCCTATAACTTATGTGATGACATGAAATAAGTCATACCTCATGATTCCTCCACAGAGTGGACCAGCAGAGCTCAGAAGTTCTCGGTGGCCAGCAGCATCAAACACAGCTGGACTCCATATTTATGGTCTGAATATGTTCTTATTTATTTATTCTGTTCACAGTCATCTCCATGCTGCACTTTGTAGACCAGTGAATGTCCAACATTTGGCTCCATGTTTCAGTCTATTGGTGTCATTCGTGTAATATTCTGCTCCAGCTGCTGGAGGACAACATGCTCACTTTTGTGAAGGAGGAGCTGAAGAAGATCCAGACGACTCTGAGTCCAAATTATCCAGAAGACCTGGGAAGTCAGAGGAAGGATGAGGATGCAGAGCAGAGGAGCATCAGAGAGGCATTAGAGAAGATCACAGTTCACTTCCTGAGGAGAATGAAGCAAGAGGAGCTGGCTGAGCGTCTGAGGAGAAGTAAGAGGATTTCTCTAAAGATTTCCCATGTGTGCATGGAGGTTAATGTGTTTTAGCCTGTATAGATTTAACCTGCTGGATGGATGACAGACCAGCAGATAGTCTGAGTGAGCTAAAAAATGAGATTTGAAACACTCACAGAATCTTATGTGCTATTTCAGGAACCCTTGTTTCAGTTTGTCAGCGTGATCTGAAAACTAGGCTAACACAGAAGTTTCAACAAGTGTTTGAGGGAATTCCTAAAACTGGAGACCCAACCTCTCTGAATAAGGTCTACATAAAGCCTGTCATCACAGAGGGGGGGGCCGGTATGGTCAATGATGAACATGAGGTCCGACAGATTGAAGCTCTGTGCATGAATCCAGATAAACCTTTAAAAAGCATCAGAGAAGAAGACATCTTTAAAGGGCCACCTGGAAGAGCTGAACCAGTCAGAGCAGTGATGACAAAGGGAGTTGCTGGCATTGGGAAAAAAATCTTAACACAGAAGTTCACTTTGGACTGGGCTGAAGGCAAAGCCAATCAGGACATCCACTTCGTGTTCCCATTCGCCTTCAGAGAGCTGAATGTGGTTAGAGGAAAAGAGTTCAGTTTGGTGTCACTTGTTCATCATTTTTTTCCTGAAACCAAAGAAGCGGGAATCTGCTGCTTTAAAGAGTACCAGGTTGTGTTTATCTTAAGTGGTCTGGATGAGTGTCGACTTCCTCTGGACTTCAACAAGGAGCCCCTGATCGATGTCACACAGCCCACCTCACTGGATGTGCTGCTGACAAACCTCATCAGGGGGAACCTGCTTCCCTCTGCACGCCTCTGGATAACCACACGGCCTGCAGCGGCCAATCAGATCCCTGCTGACTGTGTTAGCATGGTGACAGAGGTTCGAGGGTTCGATGACCCACAGAAGGAGGAGTACTTCGAGAAGAGATTCGGAGATTCGCGGGCCAGCAGCATCATCTCCCACATCAAGAGCTGCCGGAGCCTCCACATCATGTGCCACATCCCAGTCTTCTGCTGGATATCTGCTGGAGTTCTGGATGATGTCCTGAAGACCAGAGAGGTCGGACAGCTGCCCAAGAGTCTGACTGAGATGTACATCCACTTCCTGGTGGTTCAGGCCAAAATGAAAAGGGTCAAATATGATGAAGGAACTGAGACAGATCCATCCTGGAGTCCAGAGAGCAGGAAGATGATTGAGAGTCTGGGGAAACTGGCTTTTGATCATTTGCAGACAGGAAACCTGATCTTCTATGAATCAGACCTGACAGAGTGTGACATCGATATCAGAGCAGCCTCAGTGTACTCAGGACTGTTCACACAGATCTTTAAAGAGGAGAGAGGGCTGTACCAGGACAAGGTGTTCTGCTTCATTCACCTGAGTGTTCAGGAGTTTCTGGCTGCTCTGCATGTCCATCTGACCTTCATCAGCTCCGGAATCAACCTGCTGGAAAGAAAAACGAAGTCTCCGAAATCTAAAACACAAACAGAGACTCTCTTCTACCAAAGTGCCGTGAACAAGGCCTTACGGAGTTCAAATGGGCACCTGGACCTGTTCCTTCGCTTCCTTCTGGGTCTTTCTCTGGAGACCAATCAGAAACTGTTAAGAGGTCTGTCGACAAAGGAAGGAAGTAGCTTACAGACCAACCGGGAAACAGTCGGGTACATCCACAAAAGGCTCAGTGAAAATCTGTCCGTAGAGAGAAGCATCAACCTGTTCCACTGTCTGGATGAACTGAACGATCATTCTCTGGTGGAGGACACCCAAAGGTTCTTGAATGCAGGGAGTCTCTCCACAGATAAATTGTCCCCTGCCCAGTGGTCAGCTCTGGTCTACATTTTGATGTCATCGGCGAAAGATCTGGATGTGTTTGATCTGAAGAAATATTCTGCTTCAGAGGAGGCTCTTCTGAGGCTGCTGCCAGTGTTGGAAGTCTCTAAAAAAGCTCTGTGAGTACAAATATAGATGTATTTATTTTCAATTACATTGTTTACAGACTAGCTGGAGACAGCAGTTACAGAAAAAAACCCAGTTTCATGTGAAATTTAGTTCAGTTATAAAACATCAGTTTTATAAGAATATGTTTTTTTTAATTGATTTATGATCCATTTATTTGCTTCCTTCTCAGACTCGGTGACTGTAACCTCTCAAGCAAAAGCTGTAAAGCTCTGTCATCAGTCCTCAGTTCCCAGTCCTCCAGTCTGACGCATCTCGACCTGAGTAACAACAACCTGAAGGATTCAGGAGTGAAAATGTTATCTGTCGGGCTCAAGAGTCCAAACTGCAAACTGGATACACTCAGGTATGAGCTGTATAAAAACTGACTTCCCTGCCCAGATAATAAAGTTTAAGATTCTGAAGTAGTGATTAGATATGATACATGAAGCCATAAATGAACAGGCTCTTGGTTTATAGCTTTCAGCCATAGAAGCAGTCTGGTGGGCACAGGACCATCTACACTGAAAATGACCAAAGACTTGAATATCTTTATTTGTGCGGGGCAACAAAAGTTGAATTTGAAACATAACACTCACAGACATTGAACAGCTCTACATCTGATGGAGGGAATAATGCAGACCGCAGGTGTTTGGCCTGGTAAGAAAAGAGGATTAAAGTGCTTTAGCCTGAGGACAGGGATTTTTTAAATTTTATTTTTAATTTATTACCATGATCCTCGCTGTGGACTGCTGAATTAAGTTTTTTTTTCACTTCACAAATGTCTTCACATGATATTTTCCTCCAAGCAAGGTTTTAGAGCCTTAAAATGTCTTTTCCCAAACCGGAGCAGATCGCTGACCGGCCTGACAGCCACCAAAAGCGTTTGGAAAACCCTCGATGAGCAGACGATCCATCGATGACCCATCCGCACATTTTTATCTTCACATTTCCGTGTCTGCAGGCTGTCCGGCTGTCTGGTCACAGAGGAAGGCTTCGTTTCTCTGGCCTCAGTTCTGACTTCCGACTCGTGCCATCTGCAAGAGCTGGACTTAAGCTACAACCATCCAGGAGATTCAGGGGCAAAGCTGTTGATGGAAGAATGGAAAGCTGCTCTGAAGGATCCACATAATCTCAGGTATGTGGAGGCCTGCTGCAGCCTAACGTAGTCTGATAGAGGAAGGGAAAACAATGCAACGTATTGAAAATGAATGTAAAAAATCTTTTTAATGATAACACAGAGGGCGCACAGTAGTGCCCTCCAGTTGAAGGGTCAAGATCCTGGTCTGTTCCTTTCTTAGTTCAGAAAAATGTGTGTGTGAGAGCCATGTAATGTCAATGTTCTCATGCTGAAAGAGACAGTACTGCTCTGACCTAATCCTTTCAGGGTGGAGCCTGCTGGAGAACGATGGCTGAAACCAGGTCTGAGGAAGGGTAGGTTCTTCATCTAATTCATTCAGCCATCTTCACACTCTCAACATCATTCATTCAACAGAGTGAACAGATTTTGAATCAGTAACTGCAGCTGGACTATGTTTTTTTTCTCTCCATCAGATTCAAAGTCGACACACGATCAGTGAAAAGACACCTCAAACTGTTTAACAACAACGTGTGGAGGAGGCTGCTGATCATCCAGACAGATGTGATGACAAATTGCCTCAGATTGTATGGGGATATGATGTTCATGTCTTTCTCTGTCACTCAGAAACACGTTTTCAGCTTCATTCTCCCACTCATTTAAAGAGATGGAGCCTGTCATTCCTCCTGAGTGTAGTTTTTCTGTCTGTTTACAATCAGAGCTTCAACTTGAACAACAGCATGTTGTTTCCCTAGAGCTCATTTAAGTTCATGTCAGCTGCAGCTAGTTTGCCGCACACGTGACAAACTGAGAGGAATCTGTGCAACCTAAGATCAACTAGAAGAATTTCCAACCGGCTCACCAGTACTCACTGAATCCTGTCCAATGAGCAAGTGGTGTCATCCCAGATGTTTCTGTATTCACTTCCTATTGGATAATGAAAGTTTATTAGGATAATTCTGTCTTTATATGAAATTTCTGACATTTTCACATGTTGAATTTATACTTTTATGTTTTTGTTTATTGTTTATTATAGTAAGGCAACTGGACATGCAGTCTTCTTTTTGCTTTATGACAGTGTAACAGAACATTCGCTGTGGTCACCGCAGTACTCACATTTCTCTTTGTACCGTATTCATCTGATTGTTAAATTATTGTGCTCAAATATGAGAAATTAAATGAGTGTCTCCTTTCTTCTGTTCCTCTCTGAAATGAGTGTCTCTTCTCTTCTGATCCTCTATTCTCATTTCTTTAGTTTTCTTCCACTACTTTTGGCACATCTCCTTCATATTCAGTTAGAATATGTTCTTTATTTAAGTTTTTAAAAAGCATATAATTCTACTGATCTAGTTTCAGGGGCATCCTTTGCAGCATAGAGTGTAAACAAGAACAAAAAAAAACACACAAATATTACAATAACACAACAATCCTCCAAAACGCATCCTCAAAAGCAGAGAGCAAACCAAAATCCACAATTCAAGACAAAAATATATATCTTTAAAAGTTTGTTGGAACAACTTCAAAATGCATTCAATGGGTTTAAGAGTTGAGAACACCTGAAAACATTTGAATGTCTATTTTCATGACAGAAGTAAAAGGGCCTTACAAAGTTACAACTAATTAGTAGTTTAACTTACAGTACTCTGAAAGAGTCAAATATTTTCAATCTTACTGGTGAAGTGGATATACAAGTCATCACATGTAGTTTTTTATCTTCCTCCTGATTTCCCCATTATAATGTATATATATATATACACACATAAATATATATATGTATATATATATTTGTGTGTGTGTGTCTATGGCCTGTCCCAGATGAGTGGCGGGGCTCTAGCTATTTTTCAAATAGTTGTTTTTTGTTTAGTTTTTTTTAAGGTTTTTGTTCATAACAGAAAACAGAAAGAAATCTAATAATTATATTGTTATTTTTATATTTTAAAGCCTGAAAATAAATTTTTGCTTAGCAAAACACAGGAAGTGACGTTGCACAGGTTTCTGGGTATGTGCATCCGTGCATCGATGATGTGCATAACTTAGCTAAACTAAGCCAGGGTAGTTCGTTCACGGCCTTTTAATTTCCCACGGGGTATTTTGACAATTAAATCAAGTGGATTTTAACTCCATGCATTTATTGCACAATGCAGAAATCACCAATAAAAATAACGTAGTTTTATTTCTTAAATAAAAAATCACTACATCACCCATGATGCACCTCGCCATAAGGGTCAAATCTGAAATTTAAACGACTGGTTAACGACAGCAAGACTACTGTTTTATAGTCGTGAAAACAAATCAAGGAACTTGGATTATTTGTTCGGTTTGGGTTCGTTGGATTCGTAAGACTTTTTCGTGGCCACCGAGTTTCTCCATGTGGAGTTTGTTTGGCAGAATGTGGAGTTTTTCAATGACTCCGCCGCTTTTTTGTCAGTTAGCGTTGCTATGCGAGCTAAGCTAACTCGTTGGGAGCTCCGCGGTTCTCCCCCGTGCGATGACTTTCAGACTCTGGTCATTCATGCTACCTCTTCAAAGATGAACTGACCGAGTTTGTCGGAACATAGTAGGTTTTTACTATATTAAGTAAAAAACCCCGCTGTTGTAGCGCTGAACTTTCCCCCCCCAGCCGAACCAATCCGGGTGCGGGAAACCATGACTCTCGCCCCGAAGGAACTGTCCAACCTGCTGAGCATCATCTCGGAGGAGGCCTGCACGAACACCTTCGAGACCCTCTCCAGCCACTTCCACCATTACTTCGGCAAGGCCGACCACTTCAGGGTGGGCTCGGTGCTGGTCATGCTCCTGCAGCAGCCGGACCTGCTGCCCAGCTCCCCGCAGAGGCTGACGGCCCTCTACCTGCTCTGGGAGATGTACCGCACCGAGCCCCTGGCCGCCAACCCGTTCGCCGCCGTGTTCGCCCACCTCCTGAACCCCTCACCGGCCGGGGAGGAGCCGGAGAAGGTGCTGTCCGGTAGGTCCGCGCGCGCGCGCGCACGTGCCCGTGTGTGTGCGCGCGCCATACGTTGCAAAAATGAACTAAAGTTAATTATCTTTCGTTTTTTTTAAAGAAATACATCTCATAATTATATTTTTATTGTTATATTTTAAAGCCTGAAAAGACATTTTTGCTTAGCAAAACGCAGGAAGTGACGTCGCAAAGGTTTCTGGGCATGTGCATCGATGATGTGCAAAACTTAGCTAAATTAAGTTCGTAGTATGAAATAAAAACACCAACCTTTTATTTAAAAAACATAACCAGTGTCTTTGTGTGGATATACTTGAAAAAAATAGATCCCTTGATATTAAAACCTGCTTGTTAGTGTCATAACAGAGGAAGTAGTCTTTGTAAAAGTAGTCTTTTACAAGGTACACTTTTCTAAATGAACCGTTTTATTGCCCCCAACCATGTAGGACATCAGTAACCTGTCCTAAATCCAGATGTTACCCAGATTTCAAATACCCAAAGATATTTGCACTTAGGATTCAAGGTGTGACTTCTATCTCTTTTTTTTTCTTCTTCTTCTTCTTTTTTTGTGTGTCTCTTCTGTGTTCAGGATTCCTGCCTCCCATCACCCAGCCAGAGAAGTTCTTCCTGTCCCAGCTGATGCTGGCGCCACCGAGAGATCTCTTCAAGAAGACGCCCAGACAGGTGTCCTGCATGGATGTGGGCAACATGCCCCAGTCCATAGACATCAGCGGGCTGCAGCTGGCTCTGGCAGGTGAGCGGACGCCCGAGGATTCCCGAGCTGACGCGGAGAAAAAGCGTCTAAAGTAAAAGGCTCTCGGATCAGACCGGTCCAGTCAGGTCCAGATCAAAAGAGGCTGAGACGGATCGAGAGACGGAAACTGTGTCTATAATTGGTGTGATTGGGAAAAAAATCAGTTCTTTGTGATCATGCTGAATTCAAGTTGGGGTTAAATGACATGGTTCCCTGTGGGTAGAAACTGAGGCAGAGGGTTTTGTCTTTTTAGGCTGGGAAATGATAGTTTGTTTATGTTTTCATTGGGCTATTGTGTGTTTGAAACCGACTGGCCGGAGTGGACTAACCTGCCCCCTGACCCGCAGAGCGTCAGTCGGAGCTGCCCACGCAGAGCAAAGCCAGCTTCCCCAGCATCCTGAACGACCCCGACCCGGACTCCTCCAACTCGGGCTTCGACAGCTCCGTGGCCAATCAGATCATCGAGTCCCTGGTGACGGGGCCACGCCCCCCCCTGGAGAGTAAGTGTCGATGTCTTATTCGGTTCAGGGCTGAGTTTCTGCTCCAGCTCCAGCACATCGGGGTTCCCCCTGCTGCTTTGGGGTTTGACCCCCGGGCTGCTCTGCCCCTCAGGTCACTTCCGGCCCGAGTTCATCCGGCCGCCGCCCCCCCTCCACGTGTGCGAAGACGAGCTGGCGTGGCTGAACCCCACCGAGCCGGACCACAGCATCCAGTGGGACCGCTCCATGTGTGTGAAGAACAGCACCGGCGTGGAGATCAAGCGCATCATGTCCAAGGCCTTCAAGAGCCCGCTGTCGGCCCAGCAGCAGTCACAGGTGAGAGTCCAGCTCTGGGGGTCCACTCAGGCCACACACTCTCACGCCTCCTCAGTCACGCACAGAAAAACACACAGTCCTCCCGTTTAGCACAGCGGTTTCAGTCCCTGTGGGTTCTGTGCTTTCAGCTGCTGGCCGAGCTGGAGAAGGACCCCAAGCTGGTCTACCACATCGGCCTGTCGCCGGCCAAGCTGCCGGACCTGGTGGAGAACAACCCGCTGGTGGCCATCGAGATGCTGCTGAAGCTGATGCAGAGCAGCCAGATCACCGAGTATTTCTCGGTGCTGGTCAACATGGACATGTCGCTGCACTCCATGGAGGTGGTGAACAGGTGAGGGGGGGGGGGCTTCTCCTCTCAGCTGTGGTGTAAAAAAAACGTTTTCTTCCCATTGAAACGTTGAGCAAATGTGTCAGGGATGAGATTAATATGCTGTGTTCATGTTTTCATTAGTATTCTGAGTCCAGTTTCATGCGCCCTCAGGTTGACCACAGCAGTGGACCTGCCTCCAGAGTTCATCCACCTCTACATCTCCAACTGCATCTCTACATGCGAGCAGATTAAAGACAAGTACATGCAGGTAGAGAGCCAATCCCCTCCTGGTGTGGGGGGGGTCATCCGAGCCCTTTGGGCCGCTTTCGCCTGGCCACAGGAACTAATCTGACCCTCCTCCCGTCCCCCAGAATCGGCTGGTCCGACTGGTCTGCGTCTTCCTCCAGTCGCTGATCCGGAACAAGATCATCAACGTCCAGGACCTCTTCATCGAGGTCCAGGCCTTCTGCATCGAGTTCAGCCGCATCCGGGAGGCCGCCGGCCTCTTCCGCCTCCTGAAGACCCTGGACACGGGGGAGAGCCCGGCCGAGGCCAAGCCCGCCAAATAAGGGGGGGGGCAGCCGGGACTCTGTGACTCCCCCCTGAACTTTGCCACCAAAAACAAAAGCTTAAAAATAACTAAAAATGAAGCGTTTTTTTTTTTTTTTTTTCTGCTTTAGAGGTTAAAACTTTTGAATTATATGAATTAAACAGATTGTTTAATGAAGCCGGTCAGGTCGTGTTATTTCCCTGTTGGCCGACAGATGAAGGTCTGAACCTCCTCTTCGTCGTTTACATCTCAGAGAAGCTCAACAAACTTTCGCGGTGAGTCTGCAAACACGGAAGCGTTAATACGCACAAAGAAACACACAACACCAGCGTCTTCATACAAAACTGGCTTTAATGGTGCTGCACATTTCAGTGGATCTTTGAGTTGGACTGTGTCCGTATACACGCATGAGGAGAAACACCAGAACCCGCTTCACATTTAAAGAGAAGCAGCCAACGAAAGAGAGGAGTGTGATGGGAGACCAATCAGAAGCCTGAGACCTGCTGGGAACCGTTCAGAAATAAATAATACTTTCATTACTCATTTGACCACCTGAGGAAGAACTTTCAGATGAAGATAGAAATCTGTCATTTCTCAGCTGCTGGAAGAGTTTTAGTCCAAAAGTATTTCTGGATAGAATTAAACTGAATTACTGGACTATCTTTATATTCTCTGATTCAACAACAAAATTAACTGTTTAATATGGACACCAGAAAAGTTTTGGAATATGTTTTGCTTTAAAATGAGAGAAAAAGAAATGTAACAAGGATTTTTGCCTCTTTAAAAAAAAAAAAAGAACTTTCCAGAGGTAAAACTCCTGAGATAAAGCCTTCCTGGTTTAGAGGGGCTGGGGGGACTGTAACAGTGCTTTTGGAGCGGGTGGTGCCTCCGTTAGGCCCTCTGCATGCCGCGCGCCATCAGGCAGGCGAACACCGTCATCACCATCTTGGGCTTGACCTCCACCAGGTCCTCGGGGAGCGCGTACACCCGCGCCCCGATCTTCCTGGCCATGGAGATGGCGTATCTAAGGACGACAGGCGGGTCAGTTCTCAGGCCGGCTGGGAACTGGAGGGAAAGTTTCAGGACTTTTCAGGACGTCTCACGTACTTTGCGTTGTTGAGTTTCTCCTCCTCCGTCAGGTCCTCCGCCTTCACCAGGTCGTAGCGGATGGACCCGGGCTGGATGGCGTCGATCAGGTCCAGAACCGGCATGCTGCTGCTGATGGACACATCCTGCACACACGGGCACTCAGTTAGCCTCCTATTTCCTACTAAACGTCAGCAGAGAAACAGAGAACCACAAACAGTCTGTTCGTTTATATTAATAGTCATTTTCATATTTGTCCACCAGATGGCGCCATTTCGTGCCGTTTTCTGCCGCTAAAACTGCGGGAAAATCTGACAGTGACCTATCCGAGGGACCATAAAGGGTCCTCCCGGTTCTGTTTGATCCTCTTCAGTGTGGCTCCCTCTGAGGCCCACGTTCGGTTTGAGTGGTCGGGAGTGGACCTGTGTGCTACCTTAAAGCTGGAGATGGTGCCCTTTTCGGCGTTTGTGAGGGTTTGGTTGACCCAGGAAACGATGGTGTCGTCGATGACTTTCTGTCCGTCGCCCAGATCCTCCAGGATGTTCAGCGTGTACCTGGGGGGGGGGGGCAAACATCACAAAGAGCGTTCGATGGTGCCCAGTCGTGCGGTCAGTGTTTTTTTACGGAGGGACGGGTGTGGGGGCTACCTCCTCATGAGCTGCCAGAGCAGGGCGAGGGTGAGGGTTCGATTCCCCGCGTTCAGGTCCTGCCCCGCCACGCCCACCAGCGAGAACTTGGCCTCCTTCTTGCCCAGCTCCACGGCGTAGTTGCAGTTCTCCAGCTGCAACGCGGAGCGCCAAACAACAGGTCAAACAACAAAGCCTCCCTCTGCCCGCCCCTGAGGTCAGCTCTCTGAAGCTGACCGCTTGGTAACGCTTTGGGACCGCCGTACCTTCTTCATGTTGCTGCCCAGCTTGGGGTATGGCGGCTTGTTGACCTTGTCCCAGTCCACCGGCACTTTGATCTTCTCGTACAGCTGGAAGATCACCAGGGCGTCGTCGATGTCCCTGAAACACACACGGAGCACGCCACCCCCCCCTCGTGATGTCATCCCATGCCAGCGGCGAAGAGCCGAGGGGGCGGGGAGAAAAAAAAAAAAACCTACGCGTAGAGGTGGTTGACCCGAGGGTTGACGCCCAGCGAGTTCATCCAGTTCCTGAAGGTCCGCTCCTCCCTGGTCTCGCCCTCGATGGAGCTCCAGTCGATGTCCTGGTTCTCGGGCTTCTTCAGGGCCGGGTACTTGTTGAACAGGTTGGCCACGAAGGCCAGGTTGAGCTTGGGGTTGCCGCGGACGACGTCGGCCGGCATGACGAACTGCCGGCACCCGAGCCGGTCGGCCTGGTCCAGCATGCACTCGGCCCTCCTCAGGTCCTCTTTCTCCTGCGCAGACCGGATTTTTTCCCCCAATTAAAGCTAAATCAGCATTTGGTTTCCATGGATTTTGTTTGACAATTCGGAAACTTACAATCAATAAAGAGGAGAATTAAATTGATTTGAAATGAAAGGAAAAATGAGTACGTCTGGCGGAAGTGAAGGCAGGTGAACAGGAGGAACTGCTGCCTAACCCTAACCCCAAACCCTAGCCCTAACCCTAACCCGTCTCACCCTGAGTCCCGACATGTCGATGGCGATGGCGGGAATCCCCTCCTCGTCTCCTTTGGGCGCCACCTGGTTCAGGATGCTGTAGTACGCCTTGGAGTCCTGGAACAGTCGGGATGGACGATTAGAGTCACCACAGATGGAAAACAAGTTCACATTTTAGTCTTTTTTTTTAACTTTGAAAAGCTTTACTGAATAATGAACTAACATTACATTTAAGCTAATAAAAGACTGGACGTGTAATAACTAAAACTAAAAAATCAAACGTCTGCTCTGGATATGAGACATAACTGGGTTATTAATAATAAAATCTATAAACAGCCTGTGGGCCTCAGAGGAAATTGCAGATAACTGAGTCATCCGGTCTTCTTTCCTTCTGTGGAAAACGATTAGTTCCGGTGTGTGATTTGTGACGGCTCAGAAGGCGTCTGAATCCGCCGCTCACCTTGATGTCGGAGCTGAAGTTGTTGATCTTGCCGCAGCCGGCCTCCTCCAGGTGGTGGTTGGCCCAGCGCAGGAGCAGCTCCTCGGGGGAGAGCTTCATCAGATCCTCCAGACTCTCGCCGTCACGCAGCAGAGCGATCAGCGCTACACACACACACATGGATAAACATTTTTAGTTTTTTCTTTCAGAATGTTAGAGCTAATTTAAAATACTTTTTTCACCAGTTTGTGTTTTGTTCTTCAACTTTTCTAAGTTTATCACCTTTATTACTGTTATTATGACCGCTGTTATTAGTCATCACCACCACTCGTATTGTCATAAGTGTGTGAATCCTGATCCTTCTTTAATCTCTTTAAATGCTGTATGACTCTAAACTTCTCTGATTAACACTGGGATAGCTTAGTTCAAACATTCAAGAGTTGAATTTGTAAAACTCCTCCACTTCTGTGTGAAAATTTGGGCTTTACTTCCATTTCAGGTTTGTTTTATGTTCAGTTTCTGCTCTCTATCCTGGCTGCACTGGCTCAGTGGACTAAAACTTATTAACTATCCTATCACTTTAACAAATACGCTTCAGAAAGTTGTTTCTGATCAGGTTTAGAACGAAAAGCAGCAGCCTGTAGTTACATACTAACTGGTGTTTATGGTGGAGAACAATCCGATCAACATCTAGAAGGTTAAACTCTGCTATTGAGCAGATGGCTAGTTCTGATGCCAACGCCACTTCACCGGTGGGCGTGCGTCCAGCTTAAACCCCCCCCCCCCCAAAAGATCCCACACCTTCGTTCTTGCTCAGCTCGATGTCGGCGAACAGCCCGATCTTGATGACCTGCCACAGCAGCCCCAGCACCAGGTGCTGCCGGCCCTCCTTCAGGTCCTCCGCCCCGATGTTCACCACGTGGCAGCCGATTGCCGACGCCGAGTTCAGGGCCAGGTTCAGGTTCTCCTGTAGGGGTGAACGGACCTTTAGAGGCGGGCGCCGACACCCCCGGTCCCCCCGCCCACCGCCTCCTGTCTCACCTGGATGGTGAAGGGCGTGAGCTTTTTCTTGTTGATGGTCCTCTCGTCGATGGTGTCCGGAACAGACAGGTTGATCATTTTACTGTAAACAGACACAAATCCAGGCCCTTAAATCAATCAAACCCTCGTTCATTCATGGATAGTTGGGTTTCGTTTGCTCTGTTTACAAAAAAACTGCTGTAATCTTCTTGTTTAAACCAGTGAAAAAGAAACAGGAGATTAAGATGTGAGCTCTCTATAAGCGTGAGGCATATTGCTGTTTCACTCTAGAGGCGGTTTGTATGTTAGCCTTCGTGGCTATTTTGAAAATGTACCAGAGGACGATCCCGTCTCCCATGGCGGTGAAAAGGTCGTTGCTGTTGGGATCCATGGGGAGGACGTGTTTGCAGTCTGCATCCTTTTCCAGAGCCTTATTGATCCAGTTCACGAAGGCCACCTTCTCCTCCTCTGGACACACAGAAACTGCTGTTAACATCCTAATTGGCTGGGATTGGAACCTTAAAATCGACAAGCGAAGAGCAAGCAGGACTCCTCGGCCCTTGGAAATCATAATACGTTCACCAGGGGTTTGCCTCACTATCAGGTTTCACTTAAAAGAACTGAATTAATTATTTACATATTTTTAAAGTAAAGCTTCAGATGGAGCCTTCACATTGAAGAAAACGGGAAATGATTGCAGTCGTATTTGGGTGGCACCCTATCTCAGAAAGACTCAGAGTCTGTCTGTAAGAGGCTTTTAAAGCCGGAAACGTGTCCTTACCCGAGTAGGAGTGCTGGGTGCCGGACTGCTCGGAGGTTCCCGCCACGTTACAGATCCCCTCCTTCTTATTGATGGCTTTCCTGAAAGTCTTGGCCACCTCGGAGCTCTTCAGCCCGTGGACGATCTAAAGGCGCGAACAGGGAAAACAAAACGGGCTTCAGAACTCCAACCCCCGGACAAAATGGCCGCCCCGTCCCCGTGAGCACGGACTGACCTGGGTGAACTGGTCGAAGGTGAGCTGGTTGCTGCTCTTGGTCAGCTCCTGGACGATCTCTCGGATTCTGTATCCGGGCAGAGCCAGGTTGGCGGCCTTGAAGAGCTCGTTGAGCTCGTCTTTGCTGATGAAGCCGTTGTTGTCCACGTCTGGCCGACAAAAGGTCAGAGGTCAGAGGTCAGAGAAGGGTTTTTTCAATTCAGCAGAACTCTGTCTTAATTAAACTGGATCTCTGATGTTTAAACGACAACATAAGAAAGCATCCAGATGCATTTGCACCCAGTATCTGATATTTATGGGATTTAACACACAGATAAAGTCGTGCATGCACATGTGGGAATATCAGACAGTTTACAGCATGAAACTCTGTGACTTAAAGGAAAGTCCTGCTTCATTTATATTCAACTGAGTCTCTCCACCTGACTTTTTGTGCCACATATTTTGTCATTAATCAATATATTTAGTTTATTTCTGATCTTGTGCTCGGTTTAGTGGAAAAGGACCTGAGCAAACTGTCGAGTTCACAATATTTCTTCAACAAAAGACGATTATCATTAGGCTCAGAACACCAAAACTTTTGGAAGTGAAGTTTCTTTTTTGTTTCTACAAATGACAAAGGTGCATCTCAAGTTTGTAAAACCCCTTTACAAAGCCAATGCAACATTTTATTTTGGTTTAATCAATCATATTATCAGATCCCTGTATTTCATGGTGTGAAAACACAGACACAGCAGGTCGAGAGTTTATGCATTTTGATGTTACAGTAATAATTTATATTTCTTTAGGTGGACGATTAATACATTTTAAGAGGACGATCTGAGAACACAGTTTTAGGAACTGCAGGAAGTGAGTTTGAAGCACAAAGGGAACCAGACCTGTCACCTCACAAGCAGAAATGCTGCCTCTTTTATATAATTTCAAACACAAGTCTGTAACATTGTTATCTTTAACCATCTTCAACCCTGTTCATTCTTCTATGAAAAAAGACATAAGAGGAAATGACTGGAACGCTGTGGGTTCTCTCACCAATTTTTGCGAAGGCGTCTTTAAGTTCCTCCAGTTCCTCTGGGGAGATCGGAGTGGCGGCCATGATGGAGCCCTGAATCAGCAATGAAACCTGAAACTGAGACAAAGGCTAAAATGATTCTCTGTCTCCAGTGTGAGTGCTTTGAGGGAGCGAGCAGCCCGGCGGAGCAGCAAAGTAGGAACCTCTGATGCTATCTCCTGATTCTGTGTTGTGATGCAAGCTGCTGCACTTCTCACTTCTGCCTCGCCGAAACTTCCTGCTTCTGCTGCACATCCTGCCCGAGAAACAACGGCCGCTCTGTTGTTTCCCGCGAGTCGCAGGCTCCGAGCACCTGAGGGTCTCTGCTCTGCTGATGGAACCGGCATCGCTTTGTTCGAATTACAGTTTTAAAGCGCTTCCTTTTACCGAGAAGGTTGCAAAACATCTTTGCTCTGAAGGCTCAGTGTGGAGTCTGAATCAGCCTGTAACCTCTGACCAATTAGTCTTTTTAAAGACTTGATAGTACAAATAAATCAGTCTCAATGAATTCATTTTAATTGAACAAATCAAAATGAGTACTTTTGATGGAAAAATCTATCCTTTGATTGGATCCTAGATCTTTTTTATGCCTTAATTATAGGAGCAGCAGAGTTAAAGCTGCTTCTACTGTCACTGATGGGCCTGGAATAAATAAATAAATTGGATCTATTGTCTCATAATATTTCTCGAAATCAGTTCCTGTAAACTAATATATATATTTTTAGGTAACTAGAAGAATCATGAAGAACGTTCAGGAACTACATATCCAGAAGAGATGTTTCTTCGCCTGAACATTATTGATTATAATAAGAAAAACATTTCAAAATAGTATTTTATAAAAGAAAGAATTAGAAATATCTTGGTGGACAGCACCAACAATCCTGTACAGAGTTTGAGCTTAAAAAGGAGTTGCGCGTGATGCGACCAGATGATTGGACTGGACAGTGATCTTCAGATTGTTATCTTGGTGGAAGCAGCAAGCTGAAACCTGAATGTCCAGATGGGTCCAGTTGGATAATCCTGACATGTGATAGCTTCATATAATGACGTGCACATGCAGCTAACTAAATATATAACATTTCAATTAAAGACACATTTAGCTCAAATGAGCCAAATCAGTGCTGGTCTGAACTGATTTAGGTTCTCTAAAAAAGGACAAACAGCAGATGAGGAAGAGCGAAGTGGCTGGTGGGGG